TGGGGGCAAGGTAAAAGGTGGAGGGGATGAGGGCTCGAGGAAAAATAGTCCCGCTCAGACGCATCAAAATTTGCCCTTTTTACGTTTCCTGCTCGAAGGGAGGAAAGGGGGTTGCATATTCGCCGTTTCCTTGATTCCCAAGTGAACTGAAGAAATAAGGGTGTAAAGGACTGCGGAATCCCCATTCCCATTGGCGGCTGCTCTTTTTCATTTTTAACGTCATCCCTCTAGTGCAGGATTCTGGGGCACGTGGCCCGACCCTCCCCCCACACCCCTGATGGTTTTATTTCATTAGTGAAAATTGGATAATTTGTCGCGAAATATGAATGATCGTTCGCGAAAAGTGTCAGGCTACCTCCGGAAGATCGTTGCGGGGTATGGTCTTTAATTTTGAAAAATCTGCCCCAATTAAGTCAATGACCCGTAAGGACTTTGAAGAATCGCCAGACTAACGATGCGGACTTAGAAATTATCAGGTTCCATTCAGTATCGATGACCCTCCGTCTAAATCGCAAGTTTACCTTCGTTATCGGCGAGCAGCTTTATTATCGCGGGAAATAAATCTGTATCCTTTCGCTGGGAACGATAACGCACACGTGGCAATAGTCATAAATTTACCTGGCGTATTATTACTTACTTGCACCAGCATAGCCTTCGTATCGCATGCTTTCGTCTCGTTATAAGGTATCAGCACACGAGAAACATTTATTAGCCAATCCAAAAGGGTCAAAGCCCTTGGAACTGTTTAAATAATAATCACGCGAAAGTTATGTCCAATTCTGAAGCATTGCACGTTCTCGTGTGAACTGCAGCCAGGGGCTTTTCGTACCTGTCGTTTGCAGTCGCCATTTTTATTCGCGCGCAAGTACGACTTATGTCGTCGGACTTACTTTTTCACACTGTATATACGTAATAAGAGAGACCAGGATCGAACCCCGTGAAAAATTAAGTTACGAGAGGGCACGTGTGCAGGGTTCATCCCTGAAGCTGACGTCAGGACCGTAGGTTATCGCTGTAGGCGAACCCAGTCGCTGTATGGACCCACTGGGTCCATAGTCCAGGAGGAGGGGTCGGAAGAAAAAAGTCTTGGGGGATGATTCGCCCGACCGAGGTCAATTCTTCCTATCTCTAGAAATACAAGAGATGCACCCCTAATATATACAAGGAATAACATGGAGGCTCAGGAATGTCGGAGGACAATGCTTCTTCTTTGTCGTGCGTGCTCGCCGGCCATTTTGTCGATGGATCATTAAGTATCATTATTAAATTGTCAACCACCCCTTTCTCTTTTGTCCTCAACCTTTGACCTGCCAGTCACGGAAAAGGAGATACGACAATGGTGAGTTCACGTTAAATCTCAATAATTGCTATTTTTAATACTTTTCCCCCTGAACCTTATTTTTCTTCTTCTCTTCTTTCCCCACTGTTCCTTAAGCCACCAGGTAAATAAAGGTTCGCGTTCTCTCATTAAGCGGGAGTCCCTCGTGCGTTTTGCATTTATTATTCCGTAAGAAACAATAAAGCCGAGTCTTTTATATCGACCATTGAGTAGGTCGCGCGATACGTTCGTTGTCATAGAAATAGCCCGAAGCCTCGAGAATCGATGTGAAATTCTTTGCCCGTGGCTCGACACTGTTTTTCCGTCTTTCTAAAAACACTTTGACCATTTTTTTAGCAGGCTCGTCCTTATCCCTTTTTTTTGTTTTTACTTGAAATAGAATCTTCCAAAGTTCATATTCTTCTCTCTCGCTTAAACAGGCACAAGGGATTCCTCAAGGACTGCCCGGACGGTTTACTCACAGAACAGGCGAGTGTCATTTTAATTATTAATACGAAAAATAAAAAGTTTTATTAAATGGCAAATATTTTCAGGGATTTATCAAAATATACAAGCAATTCTTTCCACAAGGAGATCCGTCGAAATTTGCCTCATTAGTTTTTAGGGTTTTCGACGAAAACAGCGTAAGTGTCTGATAGACGTCAGGCGAACCGTTAATTAATACGAAATTTTTATCAGTACGAGCGTCAAATTGATTTCGATCATTCTTTTTCGTTTTTTCTTTCCTCTCTCTTTCTCTTGTGCTTGCTCTCTGGAATTCTCTTGGAAACGTCAGGACGGCACGATAGAATTCGAGGAGTTCATAAGGGCGCTGTCGGTCACGTCGAGAGGCAATCTGGACGAGAAGCTGCACTGTGAGTTCATTTTTCAAGACAACGGATTAATATTCATGAGGCGACCACGTGTCGGAAATCTCAAAACGACGGAGAAAAGTTTCGCGAAGATTTTCTGCATATTCGCACGAGACTTTGGGGCTATAATGAAAAATCCAGAAAAGAACTTTTTTTTTTTTGAAAAAAAGGCAAATCGATTTTTCAAACTCTCCTCGACACTTTAATTAATTTTTTTCATCGTGAAATCCCAGACTTGTTTGATCGACTAATTTCTGACCTGTACGAACTTCAACGCTAACGAGTCAATCGAACGGAACGATTCGAGTCTCTCGATAAGACGTCATTAATTCAGTACTCCGTTATTTGGCTCTATCGATTAACCCTTTGCACTCGACTGTTCCCTCTCAGGAAAATTTTATAGAAAATGGGCAAAAGTCGAGTGCAAAGGGTTAAAACATTGATTTCTTATCAACGAAAGCAATAACGATCTTTGTGATGCATTTGATAATGACTATGCTAGGCTAAGATAGCTTAGAACTCCAATACTGAATGCTCCAAGGTTCAGTTTACTTTTTTATTAAAAACAATATTCCCGCACGAACGCCCCACATTGCATCTCTGGTCCCTGAGCAATACCGCCTGCATTTTTCTATACATATACTAATATCGTATCGATCGATCGGTTTACTTGTTTTCAGGGGCTTTCAGGCTCTACGACGTTGACAACGACGGTTTTATCACGAGGGATGAGATGTACAACATTGTCGACGCGATATATCAGATGGTGGTGAGTGTCGCTCCGCAACTGCCCATGCACTCCATTAATGACATTGAGTCGCAAATGGATTTCCCTTTAAATTCGTCAAATATTATTTAAAAATTGTCATATCGCATCGATCGTAAAAATCGTTCATGACCCTTCGTTATCACGATTTCACCAGCAGTAGCAGAATACATGAAAACAAAAAAAAAATTATAAAATAAAAAACTCAAAATATCAGAATTGAGCTTTCCTGCCGAGTGATTAATCCCGATGCTTATCGAACTTTTGATAAGAGATTATCGATCGTCCGAGCCAATCGCGTCCAAGCAAAGGAGTAAAGGAGTACAGAAAAATGGCTCGACGAGTGAGCACGTATGACGATAGTGGAATTCACTTTGTTTCATTGGCTGTAACGCGCAATGTAGGTTGACAGCTTAATGAATAACCCAGCTGCTTGTTACGTAACTGCAAAATGCTTTTCCAATGGGATAAGTGAATAACGGGACGGATTGTCGTAGGAACTCTGGGTAAACATAGAGTAACTTTGAGGATTGGAAGTTTGAACAGCTCGATGCTACGTCGCTCTCGTGAAAATGTTGCGATACATTTTAAGCTGTTTTTCTGTAGACAAGAGAGAAAATAGGATTGCAGAATTTATACGACGGGCCCCGTTGCGACACAGTGGTACCAACCGGATCGAAAGGAGGCACCGCAAGAAGCGGATCCGTAGGATTAAATCCGACGAGAGTATCGTCAAGGGATGTAATTTAAATTGCGTAAACTCCCCCGTTTATGGGCCTCCTTTTATTTTCTCAGCCAGTGATGCCTTTTTTCTCAGTCCATTCTTCTTCTTCTCTTTCATTTATTTTTTGCTCTCTCTCTCTCTCTCTCTCTCTCTCTCTCTCTCTCTCTCTCTCTCTCTCTCTCTCTCTTCCCGCTTCCCTATTTACAATGCACCCTCTTACTCCGAGCCTCTCGCTCCTTCCTCGTCGAATAAGCCAGCGGGCTGTACTCGATAGCAAGAGAAACTTTAATGACTCGTAAAAATTGAAGAGAGTCGCGAATGAAAAGTTAGTTGTTGAGCAGCCACCCCTGCGATAGTTACAGCCCCGTAAGATGAACTTTGACCATGTAGAAGTTATAGCTTATCGGTATAAAGAATGGGGAGATTACTTTGTACCAATTGTTTGTCTCGTTGATATATTAAAAAATTGTTTCAGGGGCAACAACCGCAGGCAGAGGACGAGAACACGCCCCAGAAGAGGGTCGACAAGATATTCGATCAGATGGACAAGAATCACGATGACAAACTGACTCTCGAGGAATTCCGCGAGGGTAGCAAGGCGGATCCGAGAATCGTCCAGGCGTTGTCCTTAGGCGGCGGCGAGTAGCAGGAGGCCTGGGACGATAAGCCGGGCAGTTACGTCAAAACAGAATAAATCGTGAAAACGTTCGAGGATTTCCTTTTGTCCCTCCTCACGGCTTCGTACGTGACGGGAAGTTGGCCGAATTTATATGAGATTTCCCGAAGGATCCGTCGATCCATTATATCCTTCGAAAGAGGATTTTTCTTTCTGTATATAGAAAAGACATTATACGCTGCCTCTCTTTATTTTTCCTTCTTCTCTCTCTCTCTCTCTCTCTCTCTCTCTCTCTCTAGTCTTCGATCTTCCGTTCTGCTTTAATCTACTGTCTGTCCTCGTCCTTTTCGATTGTTTATCTATCTCTCTCTCTCTCTCTCTCTCTCTCTCTACTGTAACGAAGGTCCGAAAAGTCTTGTTGAAACTTTTAATCGTACAGGCCAATTTCACCTGCACTTCCCGTCATCGCCGGAAGCCGAGAGGAAATGGTCCTTTCGATTCGCCAGCAAAAGGACAACAGGAAACACGCAAGATGAATATTATATTCATCCCAACGATATTGGATCCGTCCTGGCGACTCGATGGTTCCGCACGAAAATATATTATTCATCTCTCTCTCTCTCTCTCTCTCTCTCTCTCTTGTAACGAGCGATAATTGCTTTATCACTTTTTTTGGAGGAATTTCACGACGGTCTCGTTTCGTCATCTCGACCTAATTACATCGTCCTGAATTCTCCAATCAAAGTCCAGAAACTGCGTTCTCTCGAAATCCGTGCTGGAATTCCAGTACAAATTTCAAAAGAAAAATATAAGTGCGAATTAAAGAAAAGCAATATATGGGAAGAATCCGAAATATTTATTAAGCTACTTTTAGTAAGCGTCTGTTGTCGCGAGGAACGGAAATATCCTAGTGAATTATTTATTCATTCATTTATTAATAACAATTAAATATATCTTTTGATTGTGTCCTCGAAGCGGCGCCACTTTTAAATATTCTTAACAAAGCTCTTCTTTATCATAAAATGGACAAAATATATAAAAGTTTCAAAGTAACGAAAGTTTGCTCATCAGAATTGGCTGATATTAGCGATACTGCTTCTACCATTACTACTTACTCTAATAATTCATTTGCAACGGAAGATTCAAATAATCATCTTTGTTTGACAACAATGAAAACAATTAATTCATTGATGCTTCGAATGTCCCGCAAGTTTCGCTGGTAGCTTTGCTCGAGGAAAACGAATGAAAAGGAAATGGCATAAAAAGAGAAATAAAGAAAAAAAAAAGAAAAGAAAAAAATAAATAAAAAATGATACACAAAATCCATAAAGTTAATAGAAATCGAAATGCAAGCTCAGTTCGTTGTATCGTGACGCGAATGGAGTGACCTGAAATTCACGAGAATACCGAAATCCCATTACGGAAGTTCCTCACCGGATACAAAGGTACGAAGGTTGTTTCCGGTTAGAATGTTCCGAATAGTCGCGCACCAAGGAAACTTCAGGTGCAGCTGTACTGCACAATAGGACCAGTATGCACCCACGTCTGAAATATTCCGCGAATTGACGTCTGGCGACTGAAAGTTTTGAAAAGAAAAAATGATGCGAGGAAGAATCCATGAAACAAATAAAAACAACGATACCAGCATTATCCGTGAGCTGAGACGCGTCTCTTACGTTTCCTATATTCCCTTGGGAACATGAGCTAAAACGTGGCAAAAAAAAACACAGCCGGATACGCGGGGAATAGGTCAGTCTGGCCATGAGGAGACTCTTGAACATTGGCAGCCATTGCTTATTCATAGACCGGTCGTCGCTTGAACACGGAATAAATTTTTCTGCAAAATTCTTCACTCCTATACCATACGTTATATTTATACCATTGCTCATTTTTTTGTTCACACTTTTATACTGCTCTTTTTCCCTTATTCACTCCATGTCGATGCTACCGTTTTCAATCTCGTACACAGTCCGTCTCTTTCTGGCGTATGCATTCGCATGTACGAATTTCCTATGCGTAAATTCTGCCTCGCTTCAATTTTCCATTCAATTTATCATCCTCATAAAAAAGACTTGACAAGAACTTGGCCGAATCGTATACGTACGTATACGAAATTGGTGCCGATTTGATTCTCTCGAAAAGTGATAAGAGATACAGTAGTTGAGGTATAAAAGTTTTCCCAACGCGCATGGAACTGACGTTGTCCGGGATTGTGCTGAAAATTCGTAGATCAAAAATTGTATGGCGAGTATCCAAGCCTTTCGTGCGTATCGGGTAAACCGAGTGTAAGGCTGATCGGAAAATAAGATTTGACATGAATATCCGGAATTACATGAGATACACGATATGTAGGATAAGGGTCGAATAAAAAATGGGAATTCGGTTCACGGAAGGTTTCACTCAAGATTCAAATGTGGGAGGTCAAATGTAAAGGAACTAAATGACGATCAAAGTTCATCTCGTGGATTCCACCGAAGGTCAAAGTATTTCTGCCTTCGGAAACGGTCAGGAAGGAATTTTCGATTTTACAACGGAATTAACGTTCTAGGCACATTCTTCCAGGACGCCGACCGGATATTTGGATAATTTTTCGATTCCCTCTCGAAAGACGTCAGCGTCCTCTGGACCCGTGCCAATTCTCTTTCATTTCCTAAGGGCAGAGGTAGAGGGCTCCTGGAAATCCTGCAGGAAAATTCCCCATCTTTCCCCGTCTTCGGCATATACTACAGTACCATATCACACTCTGCTACATATACTATGACTATGCTATACTTAAAAATCTTCTTTGTGCTCTACTAAGAACTTTGGACTTTAGCTAGTGTCTATATATGTATTTAAACAAGTATAGCGCGTTTAGTGTGTTGCCGAGGGACTTTGATTTAATCTTTTCTTCACTTCACTCTTCTTGCAACTTCGTGTAAAAAAGTAACGTCTATTCGGTCGATAAATGAATAAACTCTGTCCATTGATATTGGAGCTCTATTTCCATTTCGATCAATCGTACGCCAAACATAGGTTTCTCAATTGGTCCACTTTCAGTTTATCCTCTTTTTGTATTTTATTAACGCATTTTATTCGTTCGGATTTTCTGTTCGCTGTTCACTTGAAAATTTGGAAGTTGCACTGGTGATAAGGGGAATCCCCTACCGGTGGTGATGAGGGGGTTCCCCTTTACGTATTCATTAAAGTATTCGTGCACTTGGATTTTCAAATAAAAAAGGAAATAGTATGGTTACTTACAGAAATTTCATACCGAGCATCTTCGTACTAGATGGAAACGCTTGAAAAGTTGGAGGAATCGTTCTGGAAGCTGCTGAAGTTTCATAAAGTCAAATGATATAGCAGGAATGTATTATGCACTAGTGGCGCCCCGAGTTTTCACTTCCTCCTTTCGGGTAAACGATCTTTTTGCACTAGAAGAAGTTTTATTTCTTTGTTCATCGCGGTATTAATCCAATCGATGTTCAAGAAGTAAGGGGTTTGAAAAAATATACGGGAAATTTCCATTGTAAAATGGCGAACGATTGCTCGTGCAAATGTAGAAAAAGACATACGTACGTGTAACAATGTCAGGAAGTTCGGTGTGTCAAAGTTTTGGGGTAACTTTGAAAACTGGGATATCGCTCTGAGTATCGGAAAAACATCCGGAAACTTGAGACGTCCGGTAGAGGTACAAACACCCTTGGATTTATACGCGCCCCTTGCTGGACCTAAAAAAAAAATACTTTGTTCAAGAAGAATGTGACACTAAGAAAGTTGTGTGCTTTCCTTTTTTTTTTCGTAATTTTCAAGAAATTATTTTTTTTTGTGCAATTCCCGGCAATTGCCGCTTCACTTTTTACACGTATACACTTATTTGACGGTACCCTGCGATTTTCCCCATTTCTATTGCGACAGTTTAGGGAAAAGCTTGTGGAAATTTGACTTTCCCAGAATCGCTTAGGGGATGCTCAGATCGTTCGAGGTTAAGCACGCCACAAAGGGGTGAGAGAATGCCTCGGGCCAATGTGTATGAGTTTAATCAAGGGAGGAATAGAGGTGGAACTTAGTATCAGCGATACCCTCTGTAACCACCCCCACTCCCTGGCACCAAGTTCTTCACCGAAATTCTGGGCAAAAATGAAAACGTATTCCGCACACCGTGTGTCGCATTGGAATGCCAAAGGGCAAAAACTATCCTGGATTTTTCAACCCGCTGTAGGATTCGTCACCAGCAGCGTAACAATATCCAAGCCGTACACCAGCCGATTCTTCGATTCTCATGCCCTTTTCTCTGTCATTCTTTCCGCGCTTACGTTTTACGATACGATAAAAATAAACGAGCAGACGTGATGCTGGGAAAAGAAAATTTCGGTTATCTTGAAATTAAAGTCGTACCGTTCGCAGAGTAAAGTCGTCGCAAAAAGTTTTTCTCCGTCCAGTGAAATCAGTTATATAAAATCAATATATTGTCGAGGAGAATAATAAAGGAATCCATTATCGTTATTTCTTTCAATTGGGCAATAAAGCAGGTATTGTAAATTATTGATTACGTGCTGACTGGTCAAAGTGACAGCACTCAGAGAACTTCTGCATTATGAATTGGTTAAGAAAGAATAAGAGGCGACAAAAATAGTAATCTCAAGTTATTATCTTTAAACAGGTTCGCTCCCATTTTTCTAGTAAAATACGAATAGCAGTATACTCCATTTCATTTCATAGAACAGAGAGGAAATGACGAAGAGCATAGAAAGCGAGTTTTTACATAGTTTTCCTTTCGTATATCAGACGTGTCTGGGTTACAGCGCCACGTAAAATTTGAACGCGAGGAAACATGGCTTTTCATTCGAGCTTGAAGTTCCGAGCGTTAGTCATTTCGTGCACGAATACCCTGTTATTTATATTGTTCCGTTTAGATTTTAGCAAAGTACTTACCATCACAATGCTAACGGTGCCTGCATTGGAACTGGCACGAGAATTTGTCTGGCATTTCTTATGATGGACGATGTCAATGTCATCGGAGCGATCACTGACTGTATCTACGGATCCTACACTATATCTATGTATACAGACATCCAGAGGGATATATTCCAATATATCGCAGTATAAAATACCTTCCGTTCGAATACCTATCGGTTTTTACAGTTTCTTAAACTACCTTTACGCCGCCACTCGTCGCCATTTATCTTAAGTGAATTCTCTCCCGCTAGATGCCACTAAGCGCGATTGGTCTTCGTAACAGTTACGAATTCGAAGCTCTCCTCTGACGTAGCAGATATATATATCATTTGATCCATAGACAAGGACCGTATACCGCGCACAGAGAGCCACATGACCACCATATGTGTGTACATACGATATGTATGTCAAAGTAAGAAACTGCACGAAAGGACGAATCAAAATGAAAAAGTAATCCGAGAGAAAGATGAAATTTCCAAGGATTTCCAATAGGAAAATCCTGAAGGACTGAAGCGCACACGTGCATATCAATATATACGCCGTATATACGCCAATATATACAACATATATGCCGTATGTGTATGTACATACGTACAAGTGGCTCCATGTGTGTAACTCTGCTCGAACATCGCCGGCCTTTACGTAATATGTAATATACGTAATCCATCATGCAATTCCGGGGGAGCCAGTGAGAGCCACCCCTGGAAAAATGTCACCTGCCCCACGTGGTGGGGTTGGTGGGTCTGGGGGAATGGACGATAGATGAAAGGAGAGATAGAGAGAGAAAAAAGACGAGAAAAAATGGAACAGGATATAGGTGGCCGGCATGCTGGAATAATGGCCCCCTCCCTTACGCTACGGATTTTTATTACGTCACCCGCGTAAATTCCTGCGAAGCTGACTTCAAATTTATTCAAGCACCTACAGAGAGCTATTAGAACGGGTTTGCCTAAATTTCCTGGTAAACTGAGCGAAATGAACATTAGTTCCACTCTGTCGTTCCTTAACGGCCAAGCCAACTGGGAAAATAATAATCATAATAATGTAGTCTTTATTGTCAAGATGGTACAGCAGACAAACAGAGAGAATCAGCTACAAACCTAACTAAAATAGTTTTCCCATCTATCTCGTACGATCTTCGCAGTCTTCTTGGTGATTCTGTCTGACTCACGAAATTCAAACTGTTTTTCATCTAGTTTAGTGGCGCCACGTGTATATACGTGCGAATAAGTGTACGTAACATACAATACTATATATATATATATACATATATATTCTTTCAATCGAGTTGATAGAATCTCAATCCATCTATCGGATGAATTCTTCTTCATTTTTATTCGAGTCTCACTTTACTTAAGGTATAACCAGAACGTGGCGGGAGATATTACGATATTCGAAACGCTCTCTCGCTCGACTTGTGGACGAATATGGCGTAGCAATAATTTTCAATGATTTAGCGTTTACGAGGATTTTTAAAGATTTTACGCGACAGAGCGTGTAATATATATATATATAGATATGATATATAAGTAATAATTTAAGTATCGAAGGGCGATTTATATCGAAAGACGATTGTGCGATTTTTTCAAAGTATATAGTTACTGAAAATTATTGCTTCGAGGATTTTCATTGATTCGAATCATTTTTTATGCTAAATTTGTTAACTCTTTTCTCGGGCTTCAATATGAAGCCAAAATCTTACTTAACGTTTATTTCTTGTAAACCGATAAAAATGTCTATTTTATCTGTGTCTCGAATGGACGCGATTAATATTTCCTTGAGATACGATTGCTGCTAATTAAAGATCGCCATATGATTACAATACCTGAAACGGTCGAAGTGCGAGGTGTTGGGAAAAATTGGAAATTTACACATCGTCTCTAAAACGTAAAGAGATAAAGGTAGTTCCTCTCGATAAATCGCACCTCGATTGCAATACAATACATTGTACGATTTAATTCACTCATAGTCGTAAGAAAAAAAAAAGACACGAGGATAACAAAGCTAAGACGAGAAATCATACTCGCGACTATATTAAGTAATTTTTACTATTTTCGAAAAATCAAATCTGAAAAGTACCGCTTAGATAAAATACCCTAGAAAGCTTTACGTGTCACTTTCTCTTAAAATATATTTGAAAATTAGCCACCACTGGCGTTTAATACTTAAAGACTAAAGAAAGAAAATTTAAAAAATATGTAGGTACTGAAACTAATAGATTGAATGATGTGAATGGCTTTAAAAAATGGATTAAAAATGTGGCCGACTATATCTTTCCGGTAATTTTTAATTTTAAGAATATTCTATCAGACTGTTCATTCTTCAATTCTATTGTTCTGACTAAATGCACCGTGTAAACAGATGCACACTTTGATGCCCATATTGATCAAGAAAAGTCGACGGTGCGAATCCTAGTGGTAGAAATTTGTACTAATAAACGTGACTGCCTGAATCATCATATACATACACTCGCCTTACATTGTCATAAATAACAAAAACTGTCATCGACACTTTTCAATCGAAAATATTGAATCTTTTTGATGACAACTTTACGATGACAGATAAAAAATTGAATTCAAACTGGATCTTTCAATTATTCAAACATTTATTGTTACAGGTGTACGATTCAGGCGGCCATATTTATTTTGGAAACAATACTAACTTTCCAGCCGTTTCAGTCGTCATTATCTCCTACGGCAGTATCATATACACATTTAACGATCCTATCACGCACGTTTCTCTGTAATACCTCGTTAGTATTGTAATTAGCGACTAATTAGTCGAGGCAAAATCAAACCCAAATTCAATGGCACGAATGACAGTTATAAGCCGCACGAAAAAAAAAAAACATGTACGTATCGATTTTCTAAATTCCTTTCCGATAATTAATATTATTATTAATTACATTAAAATACTATGGTACTACTTATAACCGCAATTACTATCTTCTAATATCATTATCACTATAATTATTACCGTTATACAATACTACTATTACTATTACCATTACTATTACTATTACTATTACTATTAATAGCTATACTCGCAAGCTACGTCTCTGAAAATTGTCCGTCTAACTCTAACCTATAATAATCGGTACGGTCATTGTTTTACGAACTTTCTGTGATAATTATTAACAATCAATAACGTCGACGTGAAGATGGAAAAAAGCGCGACTTACGCGTTACCAAGACAACGCAATAAAACGATGGTCGAATTAAAATAGTTAATAAACAATGAAAATTTGGCAAAAAGGAGGAAAAAACTGAAGCGCAAAAATAGAAGAGAGCGACGATCAATCGAGATCAATGACGATAAGATATAATAAATGACTAATGAGAGTTTAAATAAATTATAATGAATTTCTCGTATGCATTGCTCGTGTCTTGCTAGGATACAATTGTTCCAGTTTGTTACGCCGATCTGTTGAGTGTTGCGCCTTGTACAAGATATACTTTAAATGTTGCTCGTTTTCACAGAATTGAACACACTGTTATTTTGTATGGTCCCATAACTCTTTTCTATATGACATCATTCTCCGCTATATGGAGATTAATAAAACAACACGATGCATGCCAACAAACAATTTCTTCAATGGGTTCCAGTAAATTGATGACATTCCAGGTAAGTTCTCCTGGATACTTCAGCCAATCGCAACGCGTGCAATTCTCTCTCTCGTTTTCTCTCCTCCTCGAGGGATTGAATTCGCAAACGGATTTCACGAATGGCCAATTCCGATACCTTTAACTTCAAACGACTCTCCTCGGTCTGTAACAGAATTATTTACGGAACTTTTTATAAGATTTAAACAAATTTTTCTGCATCTCTGCAATCTTCTTATTAGCTAACGATTATTCTCTGATATCCTTTAAGGACTCGTTAACTCTTGGAATTAACTGACTCGTGAATTACCTCGAGTTTCTGAAGTTCCAAACGATGGTCCAGTTCGTATTTAGCGTCGTGCTGTTTCGTATCTCCAAGAAGTTTTATCGAATTTCGAGAAACTAGATTTTGCCTTCCTGCTTCCGCAATATCCTTTCCGTCGTTATCCTGGCCAAAAGCTTCGCTTGATACCGATTGGTTTGTGTTATCGATTTCCGCATTAAATTTACGTTGCCACTCGACAGATTCAGCTTTAATATCTTTGCACCCACCAGTTTCCTTGACTTCAGCATCAGTAAGAGAATTAATCGATACTTCATTGGAATTCTCCTTGTGACACTTGAAAATGCATCTGTCAATTTCTTCGGTATTTCCATCCTTTTTTTGGCTTTCCATGGACCTTAGGTCCTTCAAAATTAACTGCATTGCCATTATATCTTCCCTCGGGGAATTCCTAGCAGCTTCCTTAATGGGATTGAAGTTTTTTATTTTTTCCCAATTCCGATCCTTACTTCCGGTCTCTGAATCCGCTTCTGGCACCTCCATAGACTCCACTATTTCATTGACTTCCTGAAGAACTCGTCTACGAGCCGAAGCTTCCAACGATGAGAACTTTTCAAGGAACTCCCTAAGCTCCTGCGCTTTTTTCTTTTTTTCGAAATCTTTCGAAAAGTCATTTGCGCATTCGACCGTTGCTACTTGGCACGATGAGTTGCATTTTATTTCCAAGTTTTCGATTTTCTTCATTTTTTCCCTGCCAGGGCTCCTCGACGATGATTTTTGGGTTTTTTCAAATTTTGTTAAATTTTCGGAATTTTCGTTATTTTTTGGAGTCGAAATTATGGGTTGACCAGGAATGACGGTGCCACTGGTATTTTTCAAATTTCCTGAATTCTCAGGACATATTAGAGAGACCGTGACACTATTTTCGAAAATTTCGCTACTTGATAATATTACGTTGGAAGAGATATCCTGGTTATTGGTTTTCGTAATTTTGGATTTTAACCGAACAGTCTGGCTTTCCACCGAGGCATTCAAACTCTTGGATGGAGTTAAACCAGCGACTATCCCGTATTGACCCCATTCTTCAGGATCGACTTCGGCCATAATTTGTATAACCCTTTTTGTTATGGGACTCAGACTTTTTGGATTATCCTATAAAAACAAAAAAAAACGAATAACGAAAGCAATTAAACTCAATCGAAAATATACATCATACCCTCTGTATAATTCTGGTTCTCTTATTGTGATACTTGTAATTTTGCCAATATTTTTTCAATTGTGCCGAAGTCCTGGCAAAATGTCCGCCCTTGTTGAATCTCGTCTCAATCGCTTCCCAAATCTCCTTTCGGCTCAAAATCGACAAGTTCTTGTCATCCAATAGTAAACTGTACTCCTTCATTATCATAAGGAGCTGAGAACGTTCTTCCTTACTGAATTGATTTCTCAGTCGTTTTTTCTCATTCTCCATAGGATTGGAAGTCGACATTATTACTTGTTGTAATTAATGAAAAAATCAGTTTCCTAATTAAAAAAAAAACATTCAAATACCACCAACATTCCTTATTGTCACGTGCAGCCATTAATAACAGCGCGTGACAACAGGTCAAGATAAAATTACAAAAAATTCCAAAAGTCCCATTAAAATTCCCAAAGTTTATCGCCTATACGTGTTGGAATATCCTTCGGATACGAGGAAGAACGTAAGAGGTAAGACTAAAAAAAAAAAAGGAAACTTACAGAGATAGCGAAGAACATGAAAATCTGTCGTGTTACAGGCGGTTGGGATCAAATGAGTCTCCAGGCGGGTCTCTATAATGGCAAAAGCAGATCCAATCTCTGGAGAAATGTTAAAAGCGATTTTCACGGTGGGAAAAACGTGCTTGGATTATTATCAACGAAAGATCGCTTAGCGATGCACTGACTCGATGAAACAAATGAACGAATGACGGCTGGACGCTGCATAAACAACACAAGAAGAATCGAGCATCGGGACAGTGACGTAGCTAGGAACATTAGAAAATTTCAAGAGTCGTTAATTACAGCGTTACGTAAGTGATGGACTCGTGATATTATAATTAAAAGAAAAATATTCCGAGTAGACAGCAAGGTGGCTTGTTCTTTGAAGAATAAAAAGTAAAAGTAAGAGATTTGAATTCTTCAATACTTCCTAGCGCAAGACACAATATCATTTTTATTACCAACGTAAGTACTGAGAGACAAAATATTATGAAAGATCTTTAAGAAAATTTGAAAACCATTTGACAGCTGTGAAGCGCTAATTTGAAATTGAAAATTTTCCAATAATCTCCAGCTGCGTGTAAACGGCGGAACGTGGGTTGAGATTATTTTGCGAAAGAGGTATTCAGTGAGTCGAAGGGTTGCGGGGCTGTAGGGTTGTTACGCCGAGGGTTCCATCTTGTGGTTAACAGGGTATAATCAAGACGTCAAAGGAAACCGCTCCAGCCCGTCGACCGCGTCATCCGATGACTTGAGGGTAAAATATTCCAAAGAGGCCATCGCCAAGAAACATTTGCATTTACTTGAAAGAACTTTGCTTCATCTTCCGTGCATTAGGTCATCACAGATTCGTTAACCGCATTTCTTTTTCTTTCCTTAAGACTATATCCTCGAGCGAGGACACGTGTATAATAGATTAACCATCGACTAATGCTAATGTGAAAGCGATGAAGGTGCAATTGTATTTAATAGGCCATGTTCTTTCGTACAGAGAAATTATTATGATTTCTAATCTACAGTTGTCCCAAGAGTCAAGGATCCTGCCTAGGGGACTCTTTTACCATAAAGCTCACAAAGAAGATGACCCATTTAAAATCTATTTTACTCATTGACGGCCTGCAGGATAACCGCGCAATTGAGACTCCTTGAAAAGTGTCACAAGGGAATCCAGGGTTTCCTCTCCCGTAGGAATAATTTGTTCAGCTGGTAACACGAATCCGTGTCTTCCAACATCACGAAGTTCATAAGTATAAGTAATAGGTGTTCCAAAAGTAGCTTTCACCCAGTCCATAGAGCCACCACTGGCTATATCTACGGAAGAAAATGATCATGGGAATTACAAGTTGATTAAATTGAAGCTCAATGTGTTGTTGAGTAATTTTGCAATAATACAATGTATATGACATACAAATAGTTTCAGCAACGTTTCCAGTAGTATATTTCGTTCCATATCTTTCAGACAGTTTATTAGCAGCTTTAATGCCAATGGCGTACTGGAAGTAAAGAATTCAAGTAAATACGGGATTTAAAATTTCCAATAAGTTAACTTACCAGATCATCATAATTGTCCAAATGATCGGTGGTGTGACCATAGGGAAATAGAAGCAATTGCGAGTAACTATGGAATGAAATATAGGCGTAGAATTTGTCAGATATGGAAGTGATGTATTCTGACATGGTTCTAGTCTCGATCTCAGAGAAAGGAGAACTTCCGGCGAAAGTATCCATACAAGGGCTACTACTGGCTCCTCCACCTAAGGCAAACAGCATCTCTTTTAGTTTCTAAAAATTTAAAAAAATAAATAAATAAAATGGAAACATACTCATCCACTGGTAACCCCAATTCCTATTGGGATCAGCACCGCGACAAAATCTACCGTTATGAGAACGAGTCTTGCGCCATAATCTTGACTAAAATTGAAACTATAATGTAGTAAAATTAATTGTTCTTTAATAATTATTAATTATCAAAGTACTAGTTTTATTGATTACCGTAGTATGAGTATGGACGAATCCGTCTGGATTGAAGACAGGGAAGATGTACCAATCATGACTTTCAGCCAACGACCTGACGTCACTGTCCTTACTTGTCAGTAACTCATTGATAATATATGTAATGGTAGCTGGTGAAATCCACTCCCTGGCGTGAATTCCACCCTCGATAAAAACTCCAGGGTTGCCGCGAGCGAAGGAAAGTTTGATACCCTTGATTTGCCGTTTTTCGTACGTCGATCCACCGACTATCACCTCTACGTTGTTCGGATAAGCCACTGCCAAGGAGTCTAGCCAGGCATAAATCTGATCCAGGGTGTGGTACCTTGTGAAGGTGAAGTCGGAACTTCTGGAGGTGTCCACTGGATTTTCCGCATCAATTAGAGCTTGAACGTCTTCAATGTAAACTGAATATTCCATTCCCACGGCAGCCATTAATTCAACAAATTCTTTGGCTTTAGCAGGAGACACCATCAGATCAGATGAAACATTTCCGCGGCTTGGTCCATTCCAAAATGAATACTGCAACAGAATAAAAGATTTTTTGTATAATTTTCTTTTTTAAAACGTGACAAATATACATATATGTAGAAATGTTAAACTTACGGAATCTGTAATATCTGTTTCGAATTTTTGCAAAATGTTCAAGTGTTCTGCTGTTCTTGGAAAAATTCTGTAGACCTTGTAATCCTTGTAGGAGAATTTCTCGGCTATGGTCAAAGCGACCAAAGCCAAAATAATCAAATACTTCATGATTTACTTCTCTGTAATAAAATTCAGATTTTCTTTTGAATGTGCCTTGTTCGCTAATGAATTATAAATTAACTTACCCGTTCTCTAACAACGGAGAGAAAATAATGCAAACATCTCAATTGACTTTGATACTATTTATCCCGTTAATTGTACACACGTCACTAAAACTCAGAGTCATTATCTTCCTTGATAAGCGGATAAGTTAATTAAAGCAGTAAAAGCAGATGAATATCATTGCATCAGTGTCACTCTTTGTGAAGAGATACAGGTACGTATGTATCTAATCACTGTTTTGAAAAAGTTAAAAATGATGACATTTCTTTATAGTTCGTTTATTGGATAAGGCAATTACTTACCGACAGTAGAATTTGTTGCGCAAGTAATCGTTAATTGATCAATCTAAAACTTTCCATTAACTTCAGTCGATACCAATCACGATATACTACTGTATTGGTCGCGGCGATAATAATTGATAAAATTGTCACAATTAATCTAATCACAGCAGTGATAATTTTTTAACAATATAAATATACATTGATTTTTTATTAACATGATATCTAAATTACGTACTTATAAAATAATAATAACAATAAGTATTTATCGCGTGTTTACAGAATGACCATTATTACCCGATAACAGTGCATTTGCATATGCAATTAATAACGTACAATTACAATAATTAAATATCACTATCAATAGAACGTCCGTAGCTTCCATATCCAAGTCTCTCCGCTTCCTGAAACATGGCTACCAGGGAATCAAGAGTCTCCTCAGCAGTTGGTATTATTTGATTAGCAGGTAAGAGAAATCCATATCGACCCTTATCTCGCAACTCATAGGTAAAGGCAATAGGGGTATGAAAGGTACCTCTGACCCAGTCCATTGAACCACCGGAAGCGACGTCTGTAAAGGAAGCCGATTAAATTTATGGAGATGACATATCTACAGGGTGGTCAAAATTACATCTCGCACTTGTCAATGGAACTAAAAATTGACATTTCGAGAACTTTGCGAAATTATTCTCTTTACTCACATATCACGTCGACAATGTTGCCAACCCTGTATCGTGTGCCGTATCTCCTTTCTAAGACACTGGCAGAAAAGTTTCCAATTTTCAGGAGATCGTCGAAATTCTCAACTTTTGCATTGCTGTATCCATACGGTATTAACAGCAACTGACTATAGCTGTGAAATGCGACGTACGCGAATATTTTATCCTTAACACTGGCAATATATTCGGACATGCTTTTAGTTTCGATTTCAGAGAACGGCTTATCGCCTGGAAAAATTTCACTGCAAGGATTTTTACTTGTGCCACCCTCTGAAAAGATACAAAAAAAAAACAACTGAAGAGACGTGCATAGATTTTTCTAAAAAAATCTTTTCCTGCTTTTCACCTGCCCAATGGAAATTCCAATTTCTGTTAGGATCTGCTCCAACGCATCTGCTGGTATACGGTTTTCTTGTTTTTCTCCATAAACGATTCTAAAAGCCAAATCAAAGAGCAATAAAACTTTTATACGTGTTTTTCTACTCGAAACTTTTGATTTCTTACTCCCCCCCGCGCCTTTACCTGAGTGTGCGTATACTCGTAGCCGTCTGGATTGAAGTTGGGAAAGATATACCAGTCAAACGATTCGGCCGTGTATCTTACGATGGGATCGTCGCTGGTTATAAATTCATTCAACACGTAAGTTACGACGGCCGGTGAAATCCATTCGCGTGCATGAATACCACCCTCGAAAAATATTCCAGGGTTACCATCCCTGAAGGATAGCTTGACGCCACGAATCTCTCTGCCCTCAAAGCTGCGACCACCAATCAGTCCCGTGAGAATTTTCGGATATTCAGCAACCAAGGAATCCATCCAATTATTAATCTGAATAGAAGAAAACATAAAATTTATTAAAATAATTCGACAGACAATTCTTAAAAAATAATTAAATCAACAGATATCTTACCACGTCCAGCCTGTAATACGCTTTCCAATCAAAGTTACCACGAAGATTGACATTTGGATTTTCAGAATCAATATATTTCTGAACGTCATCCATCATTATCTCAACGTCCATTCCACTGATGTTTACGAGTTTTTCAAATTCCTCAATTTTACCTGGCGACACCAAAACATCAGTAGGCACGTGGAGACTCAGTTCGCTCCAAAAACTGTAATCTTCATCGTCACGAATATTTTTCAAAATATTCAAATCGGCAATGTCGCTCGGAACAATTCTATAAAGGTAGTATCCATCGTATCGACTTTTTCCCAAACCAACGACCAACGGTACGATAAAGTAAATATACCACAGCTTCATTTTACGCACTGTCAATAAGAAGAATACAATAAAATCCTTCGATCGCTATCAGTATTTCAGCTGAAATGACCGGCAGCAGTTTCTTTCCTACTGAAAACTTTTCACCAGAAGCGGAAATGAAATTTCTACGTTCTCTAGATTCGCTACTTACATACCAGTTGGATCAGCTGCCTTTTACAAGATAGAAGAACCAAGGATACCTACCGGATCACTGCGAATGCCTTCGTTATGAGGGAAACGAACAAATTTATACTACATAACATATACGGAAGACAGTCACAACTACCAGGACACGAGGACTGGACATTGGTAGGGGATTGACAATTTGTATGCGCAAAGTACGAGCAATTAACATTATTATCAGGAAATAACGAACTCTCTATGCTCCTCTCGTCCTTACTAGGAAGTCACGTATCTACGTATGTAAAGCATCTTGCGAAGTTTCGACAATTATGACGAACGGAGTATAGAGGTAAGAGAGGCCGAGGGTGGATGGGTCGACAGATCAGAAAACTAATGAGATTCCGTAAATAACTCTCTCTTATTTGATTTCTTCATCGATCGAGATCACTGTTCGCAAAGCCTACAGGCAGTGCGCGGTAGTTGCTTACGATTTGCCAGATTTCAATTGGACGTTCATTTCAGTTACACAAGCTGTATATCTGTATCGAGCATTATGATGTTTTATGAAATTCTCTTTGTCAATCCGTTAAGGTCATTGCCTATAAAACCTATGGATATTTCATGGTACCTGCTTATATATCTTATATAGCCTTAACAGATTTTATTCGAAATTGTTATTACACAAATTAACCCATACAGCGTTATGGGATATAATACGAGTTCAATGATTTCGGCAATCGTGACTCAAGCAGTGATAGTTTATTTTTATTATTAAAAAAAAAAGGTCGAATGTGCCTATGCCATACGCCAAGCGTTTAATAACCTGCGGGTATTATCGAGTGCATTGCACCAGCAATGAAATCGGCTAAAAAGAGAACGCGATAAGCAATACGCGGTTTATTGGAGGTTCTGTGTTGTTTTTAACGAAGCGCGTTGAGCTATGCCAAGGCCGATAACGGGTAACGGTGAAACGTTCCTGTTTTTTTTTTAATTATTATTTTTAGCGGAATATTAAATATTGATTTTTATTTTCAACCTAATATCTGATTAAGGATAAGGGACGTTGATCAATCAATAGTACTTTTGTCCATCGGATTCTGATAAGGGAATGATATTTTATCTCAATGAAAAGAGCGTTCTTCGTTATCGTTATCCAGATTCTTCTGCCAATAAATACACTTCAAAGTTTACGTGCATTACAATCGTTATTGGGTGCGTCTGTTCGCTATAGTGTCTTTCAAAAGAAAGAAGCAGGTCTAGTTATTAAGCAGGTTATATACCTGCACCTGATCCTATGCTCCTAGTGGCCACCCTCAAAGATTCCATTGTCTGAAGTCTGACCTACCAGATGCCTCCTTTAGATGGAATGGACCTATAGTAGAGAATCTTCTAGGGAAATTGAAGCAGCGTGCAAGGATCCACAGGGCCCTATGCACCGACTGGCACCGACCGTTACAGGACCCAAAAGGGTCCGGGACCGTAGGCGGCTTGCTATTCGTAGGAATGCTGTGGGGCCAGAAGAGCTCAGACTGGCTCAGACTGTTTACATCAAGGAGCCTGTGGAATCACGCTTGGTTGTATAGTAACGTGGTGATAAGAAAGAGACGCCAAAAGAGTCTGTCGGATAAGGAGATGTTAATTTGGATGGTGAGACCTCAGAAGATGCTCTTAGTGCTTGGGAAGTGGTTGGAGATGAGCGGAGTTCATTTTATCGGGGCCTGGGGCCCTTTTCAATGAATATTTTGCAGATAGTAAATATTGGGAGTCACGATAAGTGCTCAAATACTTATCTTGACGTGATAAGGAGGATAAGTGAAGAGTTTGAAAAATATACGAAAGATCTAGAGGAACGCAAAGGTACGTTGAATTGGTCTTTAAATTATTGCAATAGAAAGATATCGTTAAATTACGAACCTTGAAATATATTTATTTAATTGCAGCATGTGCTAAATCTTAAGCATGGAGAGCGCCGAGGAAGAAAATAATTGCCAGGGTGGGAAACTAAAGAAATATAAAGTCGAGGCATTCATAATACCCAGTATAGTCATTGAGACGGTTAAAGACGAGACTGCTGTAAATTGTACAGTGGAGTCCAATGTCAATGAGATCGACGATGTGAAAATTGCAAACAGATCGAAAGTTGACGAGAGGGAATTCCAGGAGGAGGAAGATGAAACGAGTGCGACAGGTAAATCGAATGAGATGCTGATAATTACGAAAGTTCTGGCTGTTAAAAATGTACCGAGTGTCCAGGCTGCATCGCACGAGCAAGAAACTCTTGAAGGAGTATCTGAAAATTCAAATGATATTAAATGTGAATTGCATAACGAAAGTTTGACGGACGCTAGCGTAGGCTCGAGATCGAATGAGGCAGAACTTGAAGAAATTTATGAAGAAATCGACGAGCCGATTTATGCTGTGCCATATGTTGAAAAATCAAAGAATTCAAGAGAGCCGGTGGACACTCTCTTTAAGCGTCCAGACTTTTTGACTGGCAATTGTCGAGCGATGTCAAAGTCATTTGATAATCTGCAGATTCCGAAGCCACCGAAACGAACGAGCAGCCTGAAATCGATTGACGAACGTGGTGAAATTCACGAGGAGAATTATCGTGAATTTTGTTATCATGCCATGAAAAATGGGTACCAGATCGCCACTCAAAGTCCCCAGGAAGTCAGCGAAGAAGTTTTCAAAGAGAATTGGCTACAACGACTGGAATCACTCCGGCAAAGAGAAGCTTTCCTCAGGGACAAGGAAGTCGCTCTTCAGGATAGGGAGAGGCTTCTCTTCAAAAAGGAGAAAGAACTGAGAATCCTGGAAAGACTCGTAAAGGAGAAGGTCCAGAAGGCTGACTTGTACTTGAAACGAAGCCGCTATTTGCAGAGCGTCGAGAGTCTGCCGAATTCCGAGAGTGAGAGAAATCTCGAATGTAGATCATCTGAGGATTCTAAAGAATTTATCAGGAAAATAGTAAAAGATGTTGTGTCTGAGAAAAATGATTGTGATACACAATTTTCAAACGTGCTGCTCCCAGGAGAATACGACATTGTGCCCTGGTGTGGGAAACTCGAGAACCAATCGGCAGATAAGTGCGCACGCGCCACTAAAGCGCAATATGAACGTAAAATATTTCAAAATTCATCCGACGACAAAAGGAACGTTGAATCACGAATTTCTTCTAGCTGCTCGAGCGATTCGAAATCATCGAAGAATTCAAGAGGAAGTGGAAGCTGCAAGCTTTCCCGCGATTCCAGTATGGATAATAATGATAGCGCACAGAAATCTTGTCATTCTAAAATGTCTGAGCATCTCGAAAAATGTAGAATGATTCAGCAGTCAAAGATGAAAATTTCTTCCAGTTCGACAGGAACGGAAATGAATGATTTTGAAACTCGAGTTTTGAAAAATCCTCCAAACTCAAGAAGTTCTCTTACTACTAGCAACACGAATTCGATAGATATAAATTCTCATAGCAGTAATGGCACGTATGAAAATCCTATAAGCAGATTCAGCGGTTACAGCAGCTTTAAATCACGCCCTCGACCGAAAATTTCTTACGACGATTTGGATTCCACTTTATCAGCAGATATCGGAGATGCGTCCTTCGCTATAACTTCGAAAAAGTTTGATCCGGAGATTTTCAAAAGGCCTTACGTATTCACGAGATCAGCCAGTGAGCGATACATCAGAAACGATCGTAGAAAAGGCGTTTCAAATTTTCCAAATTTTTGCATGGCGGAGAAGCGACCTTATGTCGATATAGAGGAAGAGAAGGTATTGAAGAAAGTCAGCGAAAATATTTTAGTCTCGCAAAATGAAGACACTAAATTTCAAAATTATGGATTGATAGACAAAAATATAAATACAAATAATTTAAAGATTCAACAAACAAACAAAACTGACAATGGCAGCACAAATGATAGGAAGTATTCGTATTTAAATTTGGAAACTGGAGATAAAGTTTCGCAATGCAAAAATGAAAGAAGCACAAAAGACAGGCCAATTTCATGGAACGCCGAAGCGAGCGAATGGCTGCAGAAAAAGAGGCAAGCCTATAACATGGCCACAAAACGTATGGCAACTGAGGATCTTGAAAATAAGGAAAATTTCGGTAGCATCGTGAAAATTGAAAAATCTGATAAATCTTTAAAGAAGCGAGAAAGTAAAGGAAGAAAGTTTACAATATTCCGTTAGTACAATATAAGATTGTATGATTTATTACTAAATAATGTATTGATCAAAAAATCCTGACCCAATAATCCTATTGTGGTATATATTTTCAGCGTAGTGGAATAGTACCTATTAGGGTTCTTAAGTGCCTCCCAAGAAAATCACTGAAAAATAAAGTACTATTATTACAAGAATTAGAAACGCAGCACAAAATTTTTGTATCACTGCCGAGTTTTATTCTGCATTATTGATACATAAGAGACAGTTGAACTAACTAATATATATTTTTATTACACCCAAAAGTTGTTCACCACGAAGGAGGTTCTCCAGGAGCCTTTGGCTTACCATACAGAGCAGATTTGTCTCTGAACATGGTCCATCTCTCATCTTCAAGGCGTTCCAAATACAAACCACCTATAAATCCCAAGGTCGGAATGATGATAAATGGAATATACTGCTTGTAAATATAGGCGTGGAATGCCATCCTATTAGGCTGTAACTGCGTTCTGTTGTTCTTTCTGAAGTTGTGATTTCTTCCAATCACGAGTGTGCATATAATCAGCGTAAATTAAACCAATAGCGGTTGTGGGGAAGATCACTACCACGAAGTATCGTCTCACAGTTCCAATGATGCTTTTGAAAGAAGAACCCATTAACCTGCTCAAAAGGTCAATATAGGAAATGAAAATTTCAGGTTATGCTACACAAGTAAGTATTACATAATAGACAGTAGCATAGCAATAAAAATCATTAATCAAATGATTAATCAAATTACCACCAGGTACACTAATTATATCCTATGACCTTCCTTCCTCTCAAAAGTTATATAATTAATGACAATAAATAAATGTTCAGATTCTTAAAATATAGGTTAACTCATAATATTCATTTGAATAATGATTTTTTTTCTGCCTTTTCTCATGCGATCGTATAGAAAACGCAATGTGAATTGAATTGTGCAAGAATTACATTATAAATTCGTAACTGATCAATATAATTTCAAGATTCGTAACATCCTACCTTCGGTATGCCTGAGCAGAACTGCGCTACTGAAAAATGTAGTGGGGGCACAAGCGCTCAATATAGGTATATTTCATCAGGAAGAGATATCACGTGTAGTTATTCATATTTTATTCTTAAACAATATCATATTTTTTTGTGACGGTCCAAAAGATGTGTTGAATGTAATTTGGTCTATCGAAACGTCTGTTTAAACTTTTGGCATTAATACCGATTACTTTATTCATTATAAGTATTTTGTTCTTGCAACCAGGGTTATAAACGGAATACACCGGCTATCAAAATAATAATAGATAATTTTATAAGCTACATGTATCGTATTCAGGAACATAATATAGAATATATTAATTCGTATAATATTAAATACCATTTCTTTAAATATATAAAATGGTTAATCTGATTGCCATCTAATAGCAAAGGAATAAATATTATAAATATCCATGATTCACAGTTGATTTAGTAACTACTTGTCCTAAGAAAAAGTTATTGTATGATTTATATATTTATTATATAAATGATCACAGAGAATTTATGCATTAAGTGTCATGTCTTTGAGACTCTTTCTTCGATTTCGGGTACTAAGCAGAATGAAATACAACATAAATCACACTGCGCTTCGATACTTTCATGGAGAACCCAACGAAGCTACACCTGGAGTCTCTGTAATTCAAGTAAAGAGGACTCTAAAGTCATTTAATGTCAATTTCTTAGAAGGACACGCATGCATCATTACAGCTTGTCCTGTGTGTGAAACCGACAAAAAAAAAGATTCTAAAGTGTATATAAATAAGACAACAGGTGAGTAATAATAATCTTAAGAACGAATATAGTATTTTAATTAAATACACTTTTCAGGGTTTTTTATGTGTGAAACTTGTAGGCATTCTGGTCCTTGGAGCACATTGGAAAAGTTCCTATTACCAAAGAAATCCAGTGAAATTGTCCAAGAACTAAAGGCATTTAAAGAAGTCTTGCAAGTAAAAGAAGACTTTACGAAAAAATGGACAAAACTTAAGAAAACTTTGAAATCAATTACTGAATTATCCGACCAGAATTACAAGGATGTACTTAACATTCATAGGCTTCCAGTAAGTGGTATCTTATAAAATGTAAGTAAAAAATATTGACCTGAAAATTATACATTCACTTCTTACAGGATGTCTCGAAAGAGTCAATGGATCAGTTAGATTGTCTATATGACGTATCAACAAACAATGTATATTTTCCACTTATAACGTCTTCCGGTAGTATTGTAGGATATAAATGCCTTTCCAAAGCTTCAAAAAAAGAGAAAACAGAACCAACTTCTGATACCAGTGGCCTAATAATCTACAAACAAAGGAGTACTAAATGTGATGGTACGGCAGTAGTTGTTCCCACCATACAAGATCTACTTGTACTGATTTCTCATAGATCCGCGAATGTTGTGATTTGCCTACCATATGGCTTGCAAACTATACCACAAGAAATCCTGCCAAGCTTAGAAACATATAAAAAGTTAATACTGTGGTTTGGAAATGATGAGCCAAGCTGGGACACTGCAAGACAATTCGCTAAGAAACTCGACGAACGAAGGTGCCACTTTGTACGACCGATTATTCAACAACCAAGCCCAAAAATCGCAGCTACCATGAATTATGATCTCAAAGCCATCCTCCAAAAGGCTACTCCAATCTGGCACAAAAGTATCACTACTTTTGAAAGTCTCAGGCAAGACGTGTTGAGCGATTTGCAAAATATAGATAAAGTTCAAGGAGTCAAATGGAAAAGGTACCCGACATTGAATCGAATCTTGAAGGGGCACAGAAGAGGAGAATTCACAGTCCTTACTGGACCAACGGGTACATATTAAAAATAATCTGAATCGTCTGATGAAATTGGATATTATTGCAGTTTCTTATTAGGTTCTGGAAAAACAACATTCATGAGCGAATATTCGCTCGACCTAGCAATGCAAGGAGTGAATACCTTGTGGGGTAGCTTCGAAATTCGAAACGCACGTTTAGCACGAACAATGTTACAACAGATGGTGGGATTGCCGTTGGATAACAATTTACAAAATTTTGACACATATGCAGATGCTTTTCAAGAGTTGCCAATTTATTTTATGACATTTCATGGACAGCAAAGTGTCAAGATCGTAATGGAGGTACTTTACCATTGACTTATCAACCTATTCGTCTCAAAATTGCAAATCTTTCAATTGTGCTTTTATTTCAGGCTGTTGAACATGCAACTTACGTTCACGATATTGCTCATGTAATAATTGACAATGTTCAATTTATGATGGGGATGTCCGAAGAATCAAAACACATTGACAGGTACATAAAAAATATACTAAAATATCATGTACTTGTTTATCAAGTATACCTGTTTACACTTACTTAAAAAAATGCGTGTTCATAGATTTTGGAAGCAAGATGGAATAGTTGCAGCTTTTCGAACATTCGCCACGAAGTACAACTGTCACGTTACGCTTGTCATCCACCCAAGGAAGGAACGTGATTCCGAGGAATTGACGACGTCGTCAATTTTTGGTGGAGCAAAGGCCAGTCAGGAGGCTGACAACATCCTAATAATTCAAGACAAGCGGCTCACTAGTGTTAGAGGAAAAAAGTATTTACAAGTCGCAAAAAATCGTTACAGCGGAGATCTGGGTATAATGACAATGGACTTTGACAAATCAAGTTTAAGTTACGCACCAAAAAAGAAATCCAAATCAGAAAGTGCCAAGGATGCTGGTGACTCCAAAAAGGAGGATCCAGAAAACGAAAGCAACTTATCAAATCAAAGAAAAAACCAAGAAATAAAACATCAAGAACAGTGATATGTAGTAAAAATATTTTTAAAATTTTGTAAAATACAAAATAAACAAAAAATACAATTATTCTTTAATCCATTGTATTTCATCTCAAAAGTTTCTTCAGCTACAGTTGCCTAAGTTATCGACTGTAAATGCCGCAAGCACGCACGCTTATCAAAACGAGATATAACTAGTGACCTCTCGGTTTCCATTTACACGATAAGTACATCTGTTCCTATCATCAGATTTTTTTTGTATATCTTCCAGCGGATTCCGGTCGCTCGACAAATGCAACCAATGCATCAGAGCAGATCACCGGAGAGAATGAAAATGCAAACTATCGTTTGGCTGGTGTTTGGTGTGTTCGCCGCGTGGTCCGTCTGTGTTTTAGGTGACAGTAATACAAAAGAGCCGACGGTGCTAATAGGGATTTTAGTGAGGAACAAGGCGCACACGTTGCCATACTTTTTGACCCTTTTGGAAAGACTTGAATATCCGACAGACAGAATATCGTTGTGGTAAGTAAAATTTATCTCAAGAATCGTAGAATATTTTGCATCCCATGAATGTAACCTCACTTTTTTATGTTACCCCTTGAGAGTTAGAATGTTATTCATTGGATGTGTCAGAGATACTATTATCACAGAGGATGTACTTAAACTTTAATTCTTCATATAGCAATTTGTGTCACTAGTCATTATTGATGATTGTTATTAGTGTCTTAAGGCAATGGCCTACTTAACCAGTATATTTTATACGGCTTGGAAAAGACTCTCAAATATTTCTTAAGGAAATTTCAAAATTGAGACCAGAGAGAAGTCATTTTTGTCAAAATCTAAATTTTATCAAGATGTACTAGTTAATAAGCAATTCGATAGAACTCATAAACGTCCAAATAACTTAAAATGATGATCAAACATTTTATTCTATTCGTTGTTTGATATATTCAGCGTTCTTATATCGAAATACAGAAAAATTTACTTTTTTCGATGAATTTGGCGGTCATTTACTATTTGCAACAATGGCGGAACAGCGCAAGTCTACCTGTTGCTTTTAAACCTTCGAATAGTTATTGAGCTCCTATACTACTACTATACATACAGCATTAATAAACTGATTTTTGGGAGTCTGAAAAGTACTCACCACAATTCCTAAAGTGGTTCACGGGTTCTCTAAGTTTATTTGGACACTTAAATTGCGCCTCGATCGCAACCATGAAACCTACGCGCCAGACGCAATGAAACATTTATATACATAGGTGCTGCGCGCGCTCCGGTGCGCACCTTGCAGCCACCTGGTTTAAATAAACGAAGCTGCAGTGGAAATGGTGGAGTTTTTACGGCCATAAAATAAAAGACAATGTCATCAATAGATTTTATTATACACTTTAAGAGCTGTAAACGTATCGAGATCAATATATTTGGACAGATTTACCGACTATTTAAATAATCGCATAAGCATTGTAATTACCAAATTTATATTCACGAGGACTCGCTCTATTGTATATGAATCGTATCATTGGTTGAGACAAATTGTATTATTTCTTTTCAGGATACGCAGTGATAATAATATTGATAACTCTATTGAGATATTGAAAACCTGGTTAGAGACACAAAATGAAAGATATCATAGTGTAGATCTAATTCTTGACGAAGAATCGCACGGATTATCAGACGAAAAAGGATTAGCGGATTGGACGCCTTCTAGATTTTCTCACGTTATCCAGCTACGCGAACAGGCCGTAAATCATGCCCGAAAAATTTGGGCAGATTTTCTCTTTGTACGTTCTCCATTATTTATTTCCCATACAATACTAAATATTCGGCAACGTTCTAAAAGCGTCGGCCTATTACGTATCTCTCTGTTTTGTGCCGTTTGGGTTGATACAAGGAATCTATTTATTATTTAAATTTTAACTTACAGATGTTAGATGCAGATGCGTTTCTGACCAATCCAAAAACTTTGAAGAATTTAGTTAAAAGTAATCACACTGTAGTGGCGCCATTACTAAAGTCAGATGGAATGTACAGTAATTTTTGGGCCGGGATGACAGAAGATTATTATTACGTCAGAACTGAGAGATATAAACCTATACTCAATCGAGAGGAAGTTGGATGTCTGGAAGTGCCAATGATTCACAGTGCAGTCCTGATCGATTTGAGAAAATCGGACAGCGATTTTCTAACATATAAATCTGATAGACTGAAATTCTACGACGGACCCAAGGATGACATTATAACATTCGCCATAGGAGCTAACAGATCCGGTACATTTAACACTTTTACAATGAAATAATAAAAAAAACATTGTCTCCTTATTTAACACATTTGAAATCGTAGGTATACCTTTACATATATGCAACGATGAAGTCTACGGATTTGTCATGGTTCCGCTTGAAACTCGAGACACAATTTCCCAAGATCATCAACAGTTGACAAACTTAAAACTAGAAGTGCTGTGTGAGTGTTGTGATATTTTATAGACAATAGACAAAATACTTTCTTACGACATATCTTCAGAGTACTAATCGTAATTTAAATTTCATTTTTAGCCCAGCAGGAGCCATTGCCATTGAGTCCTTTGATGGCGCAGTACATAACCTATCCTGAACAAGATACGCTGAACATGGACAACGTTTACATGATTAACCTGGTGCGCAGACCGGATAGACGCATCAGAATGCAGCATTGCTTCCGGGATTTGGGAATTCGTGCTGAGATTATCGATGCTGTGGATGGAAGGTAAGTCCAATTGGTTAATTAACAATTCTTAGGAATAAAGTTACATTAAGTAAAAGTTTCAGCAAGATCTTGTGATACTGGTAGTTTTTGTCATTAAAATAAAACAATAAACCACGAAAAATACAAAAGTTGAGATGTTACATAGACCTTCGATAAATCATTGATAATCTATTTTATCGTATTTATCTATATAATTTTGAAAACAGAGAAGAAGATTGTACTGAAATTACGAAAGGACGACCAATCTGATTAGACGAAGGCGATAAATTAATATTAAAAAAATACAAATCTCTACATAGCGTGACTGATTGTCAGTCACAATACGCGATTTCCGATGTATTGTTGATGAAATGAAATTTTCTTATCGGACATCCTTTTGATCTCTTAATAATTATTCATAAAGCGAGATCCGCATGACATTTATTAATAGATGATTCGATACAGAATTTACCACCGATCGATGAAATTATAATTATCAAATTTATATTCATACATCTCGCACCCTGATTTCGGACAATTTTAAGACATCTCATTCGCCAGTTGCCAGTCGCCTCTTACACAGCAAGTTTCTTGAAAATTGTATTATATTACAAGAGTCAATTATCTTTCATATTTTGTGGCACCGTCCGTATTTTTGTGTGTGGATGCTTAATTAACATGCACGCTTTATAGTTATGCATACATCTAGTACACGGCCATAGAAAAAATTGACATCGACGCAGAAGCTCGAAACACTTTCAGGATATTCGTATTGTTTTCTACATTATTATATACATACATTTATTCATATACAGGACTATCTGTATCAAGTGCACCAGTCAGTTTTGACAGCTGTCAACCACGTACCACTGCCACGTGATTCAAGTAGTCCCTTACAGAGACTACATACAGTGAGCGCAGCAAGTATTTCTGCAGAGACTAACTTAAAAAAAAAAATTAAAGGTATTTTTGGTAGAGCAAAATTAAGAGATGGTTTATGTTACCTTCATGTGTTCTACGTCACTTCCTTTTGTTTTTTAATTTACCTCAAGTTACTCGGCAAATAAAACAAAACAACCTTGCAATTATCACTTTTACTCTACCTCGAAAAAATATCTTAAAATTTCTCTTGTTTCTCGAAATAAGTGTCTACACAAATGTTTCCTATGCTCACTGTACGCATTAACGTGCATATAGATTGTTGCGTTTGTTTTAATTAATTCTAATTACTTAATGAGTATCACGTATTATGCATTACAACCATAACACAAGAAGTCTAATCGCAGATACAATTATTAAGACTGTAATCACTTTCAAAGGTTTAAAAGTCTCGTTACTTCATATAACGCCGTGAAGTTGTTTCTCTTGTAAAACTCACTCGAGCCGTGTCAATTGCCCAAATTTTGACACTGATCGGCAAGCTTCATGAAACACGCGGAAGGAAAAGGAAATGAAGATTTTTCAGCCCCTTTACAACGATCCAGCCGCTTCGTCCTCGCAATTTCATGACTTCTTCACAGCACCGTATTGGTGTGAACATGCTGTGCTCCATTTCCTGTATAAGTGTAAGTGTAACTTCCGTTTCGTGGATTCCTGATGCTCATGTTACTCGTCCATCTACAGACAGCTGTTCTTGACAATGACGGCCTGTTACTCTGAATTCCTTCGCTGCTGTGTCCCATCCCGATGGCTTCCGACCCAGACGTCTGACCGAGACAACCACAGAACCAGCCACGCATCCGCCTCGTAGCAACCTGCAAGACATTGAGTAACAGCCTCAATGGATATTGGCTGCTGGGCGAGAAGAAATGGGAGGAAAACCGTGAAATTGGAATGAAATAAAAAATTCCATACCTTAAGGGATTTTGATTTACTGGCAACAGACATGATCTGCCGTTATGAGAGTCATAAAGCGAACCCACGTGGAAGTTGAGCTTTGATTTATGAATCGTAAATAAACAAAACCAGTAAGGCGGACGGGGGTCGTTTTATTGATTTGCGAGCGAATGGATTTTAGAGATATATATGAAAAAAAATACCTTGATCTCCTGCATTCGCGCTGCGTAAATTATCGGATTGACGATAGTTTTCAGGATTATCAGAAGATTCACCGCACAGATGACGAAGAATATGCCATTTTTAGTTAACCCGCTCAGATCCAGGAGACAGTCCTTGCAGACTAATGTATAGAGGATGGTACCTGGCATCCAGCCGACTACGTAACTACCTGTTTTATTAATGCAGGATATTATTATTTAATCGTTTCTCACTTTACTCTTGCTCTGACCTAGAATGTAGAGAGTGGTGTGTATGGCTTTGACACTTCTAGCCATTTGCTGGGACGAATTCTGCTGAACGCCGTTGGTACCCCTGTGCAATGATCCTGCTCTGCTAAATCGTAATCTGGATGCTTGATGCTTGCGCACTATGTGAAAGATGTGGGTGTAGATGCAGACCATTACGATGAATGGACAAAAGAACAAACTGCTGAACATCAGTCGAAACTTCTTATGGAGTAGAAATCTGCAGAAAGATATTATATATGTCAATATTACATCTGTCAGGAAGGAAAAAAAAAACAAAAAAAAACAATATCACTGGAAGCTTACGAGGTCTGTAGACAGCCTTTGGATTGAAAGCCTTCGTTCTCAACGAGACTGAAGTATGCCAGAAAGAACGACAAGGGTAAAATCCACAGGAGGACTATGAGAAACGTCGTGTTTCTGAAAAGGAAACCATTTCTTCTCTCTTTAATAATTCAAAATTCATTCCAACCATCCAGTTCTATGAATGATAGTTAATGAAATACCTGTGTGTCATTATAGATAAATAATGAAGTGGTCTGAGAATACCAAGATAATGATTAACAGCAAGTGCCATAAGATGAGCTACAGTAATTATTATGGATCCCAACCGGACTGCCTCCAGGCCCATTAAGAAGCACTGGACTCCTGTGGAACGAGAGAAGAAAACAAGAAGTGCACCAATTAGTTCTTTATTACTGACATTCTATTGAATAGCTAACTTGTCAATTACCACTTAATGTGTGTCCCAGAGCAATCGGAATGAAGCTGTTCATTATAAGTCCAACAGCTAGGGCGATGCCAGAAAAGGCGTCAGCTGCTGCTAAACTCAAACTTATATGTAGGGTGGGACTCAATGGGCGTCTGATCCAATGTACGCTCAGAAGAATCCTCAAGTTAATAGCTACAGATAGTATGCAGAGGAATATTAATGGCGGCGTACAGTACAAGTACAATTTACGTGTAGTTTCGTCGACTTTCGCCTCGTCCGGCACGCTGGAATCATTCCCCTCGAGCACGCTGCCGTTTCTTCCATCCAAAATAGCGTCCAGTGGATCGCTTGTACTCAAATTTGGAGTCAAGGTGGAACTCGTTATTAGGATTCCACGATGGAGCCTGTGCAGAGCGTGCCTCAATCGAGTCTGGCTACTCTGCACCATCATATCCTGCCCTGATGTTTGGTCTTCCAGTACCTTCATCCTCACTGCTTCTTCTCTTGATCCTTATAATTGGTTATGTATTGTATATGGGGCCATCTTCCTACTTCGACTGTCAGGCTCAAAAAACGAAGTAATCCAATCAAGGAACTTCATCCTTGTTAATTGATTAAAGGGAAATCTGGGACGGTCTCTTGTCAAGTTAAAACTTTTTTTTCCTCATCGATCTCTGTTTTCTTCTTATATTATAAAGTCTGAATTTCTGAAACACAAGAATTATGATACATTGAAATCTTCTCTCTAAATTATCAACGACGCAGCTGCGTTATCTCGCACTTCAAATTGTTTTACTTTAGACACGTCATTTTTTTCAAAATTCACTTATAAAAAGAGCCCAATTTTCCCTGAGTCCTTGTTAAACTTCATTTTCTCAATTATAACAGATCCAAGGCACTCTGCTCAGTCTTCTCTTCTCCCACCTGACTCCCCGTTATCCCATACACTGTTATAATGGAAAATTGAATAATATTCCTCGTGCTCTTCAATTCCACGTGCACTCCAAACCGCAAAGTACATTAACCAGTATCTAGTCCTTAACTCTCCCAATTACGATTCGACCAGGACGACGTATTCGCCCATTAGTATTGCTCTTAAAATGTCACGTGTCCATTCAATCAAGCTCATTCACTGGGCGGCACAGAGCAGTACGGCCAATGTTGCATTTCAATTTCACACGAACGTGTAGCACCGATCTGCCTACGTATACTTCCAATGATAAACCATTCAGTGGAAGCTTTTCAAGCCAGGATTACATTTATTATTCAACTAGCAATTACTTACGTGAGCATAGTCAATATGTCATTTTATATGTTATTCCTATCCACCACAACGTCCTTACTATCAGTATCAACAGTACATTTCATTGTATCTACGTATATGATTATTTAAAGAAAACTTTAGTAAACTAATTGTTTGCTTTGTTAAAACTAAATAAATTTGTCTTCACATTTCGTAAAAAGTCATCTTTCCCAAACGAGTCGCCAGGCCGATTTTAGCCAGGTATTCCTAAATTGTCGAAGGAAGCATAGAAAGGTCAGTTGGTTCTAAGGTGACGAAACCGGAAGTGAACGAGTGCGTAGGCGATGGTAACGTAGATTGGGTCAGGTCAGACCAATCAGGTACTTCAGGAGCATGGTAAATGAACCTCGACTGACAGTGAGTCCTAATCATAATCTTAACTTATCAGTGGGCCAAGTCCTTTCTCTTCGCATCGAAGTTGCCATCAAGAAAAGTTAGGCTGCCCATTAAATTTCTAAGGTATTACAAAAGGGTGCGTCCGTGAAATATAAACCCCCTCGTTATTAAAGGAACTAATGAGATCCTCTTGGATTACTTTTGACGTAGCCATTTCCGTCGGAAGTCGCAGTCAACTGATCTGCTTAAAGCAGAACGAGACTCATTTTCGGAAATTTCAGACTAACTGATAATTTCGAGTTTCTCTGGAAAGTTCGTACAATCAATTACGAAATTTCTTCGAAGGATCCAAATAAATCCTTAATGAATTTAATTGCACGACGTAACGAAATCTATGCAAACCTTATGTTTTTTGTCCTTCTTCTATCCCTATCCAGGGGATCACGTTATTGTGTTGTGGATATCTCGTGGATCGTTACCATCGCGCACTCAAGGCGTCGAGTCACATTTATTAAAGTTTTAATTCAAAGTTTTTCCAATATAATTTAGGACTCGTAATTGGACATTTTTAGATGGGATGACCTTCGAACCTGCACGAGGTTTATAAAATTATAAGTTTTACTTCCTAATTTATGGAAATTTGTATTTCCTTTTTACGTCACGTCCATTAATGAATTCAGAAACAATTATGAACACTAGGCCCTTTCGTGTTTGCACGACGCTTCGCCTTTTTCCACAAAAAGCAACAATAATTGCGGCATCCCTCCCATTAGTCCTTATACGTACTTTTATTTGAAAAGACACAACAAAAATACCGAACCGCAAAAACCTAAACAGCTGCAGTTTCCCGCGTATACCGTACTTTCCTATTTTTCCCTTTTCTATTTTCTTATCACGACTAGTGAGAAAGAAAAAAGAACATCCGTGTGTACACGACGTTAAATTACGTGATCAAGAAACAAAGAGAAAGAAGAAGAATGATTCCAGTGCAACGGCAACTACCGGACGATATAAATTCCCACGCGTCCCCCGTCTCCTTCCAATCGACATAACCAACATGATGATCGACGAATAGGAAGATCAAGAAGGTAAAAAAGCCAGAAGACCTTGTATACAGAAATGGTAGTAGTAAATCAAATAGTTGGACTGTGTGAATAGCGAAAAAAAATTAGTCGAAAATTTACGAAAATTTGGATGTTGGATAAATCAAAATTATTAACTGTAGGAGGTCAAAGGTTCATGGACCATTCGATGAGGGAAGACTCGATAAGGATGACAGGTATAGTATATTTGCTACATTTCCAAATGAAAATGTGCGACAGGTGTCTTGACGTTCTCGTAATCGCGTGTGATAAAGAGTTATATCAAAAAAAAAAAGAAGATCAATCACGTAAATATGAAAATTGAAAAAAAAAGATGAACATCGAAAATCGTTAATGACTGTTAATATATTACAATTAATATAATTTTTGTAAAATCTCAATGTAAAAAATATATAAACGAAAAGTAATGGTGAAAATTTTCTCTTCCTTCTTCGTTATTTCCCATAATCCCAAGCAAACTAACCCAACTCATATTCTGCAATGCCAATTTTCACGATAATAATTGCCAATTTTTCGTGTGTCAATTATTTTGAATACACTTTGAAAATTGGAAATTTCTAAGGTAAATGTAACGCGTTTAATCGAATGAGAGCTCGCACGCTATAAGTGTGCATAAGCAATTTCTTTCGAGAAAATGATATCACAACTAAGTTTGACGTTTCTGCATATATGCATATATTAGATGAAAGTGCATTACGACGTCTCGAGAATGACGTGACGTGACTTTAATCTATCAATATCGCAGCCAAAGTGCAGCGTGGAAAGCATTATTTATACTTTAATAGCCCACTAGCAGCTTCCGTCCAACTATCGATCATAGTTATCGGATAAATTCAGAACTACATTACTTGCTGATTATCCAACTATTAATTCCCATTACAAATTGCACGCTGCAATAATAGCCAAGTGAACACTCTGATGGAATTTCAATGTCTACTTTTACTTTCTCACTAGGGAAAATTAACACGGATTCAAAGGCTATAGCGACGACCGAAAAAAGCTTCTTTGCCTCTTGCGTAATTCCTCCTGCAAACCTTCGATCGACCCACGTTTCGACTCCCATATACCATGTGCCACCTGCTGTCGTGCGAATCCTATGGAAATTCATTCATTGCGGAAAGTCTCTACAAGAATGAAAACTGCTTGGAGCAGCAGCTACGTTCAGAGGGGCTACGAAATACGTCAATGACATATTAAAGATGCGTTGATATAGCGCTGGGATATAATTCCGACAGTCTGGAAAATTGAATATCCTCTCGTACGATTGTTATCGCCGGTAATTATTATTGTTCATACGTATGTTTTGGTGAATCAATTCGTTTAACGGCTCGAATTTATTCTTAATCAAATAAATAATACCAACCAAAAATTATTCTAGCGGTGGTGCGAAATATGAAAGACGTGAGATCTTTTAGACTTCAAATACTGTTCGAGGGTTACAAACGGTTAATTTCTTACGTGTTCGCAATATTTTTCCAAGGTATTACTGAATTTGACTGATCGAAAGATCAAAACCCTTTTACCCACCCTTACAGCTGTCTGCAATAGGAAATCTCGTACAGGGAGCAGTCAGAGACCGTGTTTAACATGTGGAAGAATATATACCCAAAGAAAACCAGTACACTTCTACCCTGCTGTTTTTCATTCGCTTTACAGGCACCCTTACGTCAGAGTTATTCGAGCGACATAAAAAAAAATATTCCACCATTAAAAATCCAGAGCATCACTCGTGGCAGGCATAACAGTAAACTAACGTCCTTTGGCATCGATCTCTCGAACCGACTTTATCCTCGCACCCCGAAAAAGCACGGGAGGTTCAAAGTCGATAACGCCCCCACTTTTTTTTTACTACAAAGCTGTCGCCAGCTTGTCGTTCATTTTTGATAAATTCATTCTAAGAATTACCTCACCGAAGACTACTGGGAGTATCAAAGCATTGCACGAAATATTGCCTCGCAAGAGGCAGGAGGACCGTAATGGAAGCAACCCTCATCCGTCCGATTATTGATTCCTTGACAGTACTTCGTTTTAATGTCACGCCTACGCGATACAGTGCTGAGCTTCTTACGTTGGAGCAATAAAATAATGTGTAATGGAAGTTATTTGAATTGAACCTCGAACGTCAATCCGCGTGTAAGTCGTCCAAAATCCACCCCTCTTTTCAAGCCCTTTTCGCGAGCATCTCACTTACAACTTGTTAGTTGGAGTTGGAGATGCTGCGTAGAAGCAAAACTGCATTTACAGGGAGTCAAAGATGCAAAGTAGATGCATTAAATTTCGACTGAGATATTTTGCCACGTGGTCGTGACACGTGTTTTTGCGGTTACGGAATGTCAAACCGCACAATGCGAAGATGTGCGTTACGTCGATAAAGACATAGGTGACAGGTGATAGGTCGGATTAAAAGGTGTAGGAAAAGGGGTTACGAATTGCACGGACGACTGAACCTTCGGGACTCGAGCCGAATGCCAATGAAAAATTTGTATGAATTTATATCCATCTGCCTGAATTCGCGTGAATTTTTCAAAACGCCTGTCGCGGATGCGACGGCTTTGTCCAGCGTAAAATTTTCAATGGGGCTTTCACGGTTCTGTGAAAACTCTCCTGTCGCATTGGAAAATTGTATTTCCTTCTTCCCTGCGCTTCTGTCCTTTTTTCAATATATCTTTCCCATACATTTCATTTATAACGGGGAATCCCGGCTACACCAGTTTCCAAAGGTTTTCCGTGGCTTGCTTCAGGTTCTAGGCTCAAGAGGATTCCATCAGCATGTTCGGTCGGTATCAATCTGAGGTACAGAGTTGGCTCATAGACCGCAGGATCGTTCATTGAACAAAGCACTGCTTACCTATCCGATCCTTATCCTTATATAACTACTGTACGCAATTACAATCAGCGACTGTTCTCCGCGAATCCAATGTGACCTACGCCTACGTAATTCCATTGGTAATCAATATAATTCCCC